TAGGTCTGCGGTGATTAAGTCGAAATTTACCGAGCGCGATTGGGTTGTAGGTGGCGGCACCTACAACTAACGAATTAGGATGACCGACGGCAGAGTCAAAGTAATGACGCGTAACTTGACACACGTGTACGTACATTTATATAGAAATAAAGACCTCTTCAATATTTTACCTAATAAAACGAAAACTGTTAAAACATAATCGGGGATGAACTTTCAAATATTACTTATTAAAATTGGGGAGGGGTGTATGTTCAAGTAACTTGTTCTAGTCGATGCAAGTAAGGACTTAATGTCGCAAAACGATAAACAGTTTATTGCAATTACGTACCACCAATTGCATTTTTTACCTGGTATAGTATGGTTGTTTAGTTTCATAGACAGAAGATCTTTTTCTTTTTAATAATTCAAGACTGTGTTAAAAAAACTATTTTTAAAAATGTAATGGGTATTGGAATGGTGCATAATAACCAGATATGGTTGATAGTTAGGAAAGAAACCGCAGTATATCTTACTGCGGTTTCTTTAGCAAGGTGCGGTCACAAGGGAAGACTGTTTAATTTTGAAATCTTTTAAACTTTCTGTATATTAGTTATGTATAAATTCTCAACGTAGTATATCTACATGTATGGATAATAAATGCTTATGTTCCCTTCATTTGTATTATTTTTATACGTGTCCTGTTCATCCTCGTGTACTTCACCCGCCCTCACATCCTGTCACTTTGACTGAACGATTCAATAATGACGATCGCATGCAGAAATCAAACAAGCAAAATACATACTTGTCTTTGGAATTTTACAAAAAAAACCCCGCCCCCTATTTTAAGAACTACTATCCATAAAGGACACCACGTGCAACTTTGTCTGTGTGCAAGCATTTTTACACTTCATGTCTGCATATTGCTCCTAATAACATCGCTAAGCTGACCTGGCTAGATCTAAGGGGAGGGGAGGTGGGGACAGTTGCCAATAAAGTGGTGTTAGTTAAAGTGGTTTTTTATCTATTTTACTTTTTCGATTATCTACCAACTCCCTCTTAGCGACGTATATAGCTATAGAGCATTTTCCACAAGACGCTATACAGAACTTTAGGTATCAAGGACAAGAGAGCACTGCGCACGATCCTGCCTCACTGGAGCTTGCTGCTAAGCACGAGTTGCCGTTAAGTTTGTATTTGTTAAAATTAATTAATGCTAAAAACCTTGGAGTTATATTCATAAAATTATAATTAAAAGGACTGTAATTACTCGACATAATGTAATGGATTACAACGTAAATAGAATATTAAAATCTCCAAATTAGATGTATTTAATAAAAAATTTAATATTTATAAAAACTGACACTAAACGTTAAGTGACACTTACTACAATACATCAGTGAAAACCATATTTGGATCAGTTAAGCCGTTCCTGAAAATAGCATTCACAAACACACAGACAAACTGTCAAAGTTCGGTCACACCAAATGCATCTGTTACTCCGCTACTGGTATACATAGTTCTTATTACTTCATTAGTGTAGTTGGTAACACCAAACATGGCCGGACCTAGCGAGGTTTACTGACAAAAATACCCTTACGACGACGTATAAAGTACTTGTAGGTATATTTTTTTGTATGGGAGTTAGTATTGTAAATTACCAGGACTCGAACCAGGTTTATTAAGTAGATAAAATAATGAAATAAATTGTACAAAATAATTTTAGACCCTGCCGTTTATTTATAAAATAAACCCAAAGTTTTTTAATCCTGGTATCATCGTTTACTTGTTGGAAAAACTTGTTTCCATTGCCATACGTTAACACTGCGTTTTTCAATCCGATGATAGCGCCACTGTTCAAGTTAGTTGGGTATTCAAACAAAGCTGGAGCCATTTTCGACAGTACATGTGACGTTGCTAACAACATATTTACTGACCGCACCACAAAGTAAATTGGTTTGAGTTATAAATGAGAAGCTTCATATGCAATGTCAGTAATGATATTGAAATATGTATGACAATGGAAACGAAATTTCGAAAAGGCATGACAGGAAATGTTGTTTGACAGTCAGCTCTAGATGACAACTTCTAAAGAAAAATATATGGCAGTAGCTCTTATCGCATACATCCAGAATTAAAATCATCTTTGGAGTTTTTTTTTATTACATAAATCAACAAATTATTACTAACTATCCAAACGTTTTTTTTTGCTTTAAAAACTGTATTTATTTGTTATAACAAAATGTCCACTGTCATTTAGGTTGTCGTTACACCGTGGAGATCCTATATAATCCCGTCTTCACTGGGCGGTTCACACTTAGCCAGTACAGTTGGACAGTTACGACAGCCAGTCATAGATTGTATGAACTCACTGGTACCAGTTAGCGTTCACACCATGCCAGTTGATTGACAGTCCAGTTAGTGATTTGTAATTGCAATATCTTAGGATCCATAATGTAAAATCTAAGTTTTATTAACCTAAGTGATGAGAAAAAAAATCTGTAAAAAAATATAAAAGCATAAGAAAAAGGTAAAATCGTATTATTTTTAAGCTATGTGATAGCAAATCAATACATAGCGGATAGAACAAGATGTTGGTTGCGGATGGACCTGCGCACTGACCTGCCGCGCCGAGCCGCGCCGAGCCGCGCCCTGCCGCGCCGAGCCGGGCGACGCCTCGCCGCCGCACCACTCGGCTTCTGTTCGCGACGCGGGACACACGCATCGCATTTTACTGATAGTTCTTTGTTTTTGAATTAATTCAGTGTATGTACTTTCTTCTTCTGATAATATTTATAATACTTGTTTAATGTTACGCGAGTGATTTGTTTTGGACTGATTGCATTCGGGTTGACTTTGACGAACTTGATTGTGTGCGTTCGCTGCGTAGCTGCTAAGTTTCGGGCGAAGACTGCACTCTAGGGTAAGTATTAATTTATTATGAGCATTATCCCTGCATAATGGTTTTATTGTTTTCATTTAAATACAAACAGAATTTATTACTTATTATTATACATTAATAATCGTCTGTTTTATAAATTATTTCGCCACGCGGCTGACGGTTATTTCTCTATATTAAAAGCCCTAGTTTGCTCATTCAATTAGTTTATTCTTAAAAATACGGTTATAACCACACCTTGGTCATTTGCTAATTAGAATGCGATCGATTGAGCTCGACCCAAGATCCGGGAATAATATGGCGGCATGGCGCATGCGCCTCAAGGGTGCGCGCGCACCGGGGGCGGGGTAGGATACTTTGGAAAGCTCTAGATTCCTCAACCTTTGTTATTATAAAATGGTTTCTAATAATAATGAAAATATTAAATATAAATAAGAATTAGAACTTCTACTTACACTTTATGAATTGTGCGTATCGAGTGGTATCGAGAGACCGCAGCCAGGTTCTATTTTCAAAATTTTTCTTGAAATAATAAATCGTTTAAAAATAATATTAAACTAGTCATAAAAAATAACCGAATAAACAAGCCAGGACAACTAAGAGAAACAGGTAAACTAGCTAATTGTTTAACTTGTTGCCGACAACGCGGCAGCGAAAAATACAAAACATTTTATATTATAACAAATAACTTTATTTGAAATTCATTTTACATTAATACAATACAATAACTATTCTCCCAAATTATTTAGATTACATCTTGCCCATACATACAACTATTACACAATATTACAATTCATTAATAATAAAACATACTAAAGTCTTGGGGGCCAGTGTGCAACCTCTGGCTGTATGCATACCTACTTCTTGTCAGCCAAAGAGATTGTATTTTGCACTGAACACTAATAAAATGTAATCTTTCTTATCTCACAAGAAGACTATAGGTGCCGACAAATAATGGATATTCTGTTTTCACAATTTTTCCAAAATGGTGGTTACACTAGTTTGTATTCAAAATGGCCGACGAGCGATCGATTGAGCTCCAACGCGCAGTCGCACAAGCCCGGCCGAGGTCGCGAGCGCCGCGCCGCGCCGCGCCGCGCCCGCCTGCGGTAGGGTAGGGGGTACGGGTCGCAGGAAAACTTAACAAACAAAGAACAAAAATAAATCTATCACTCTTCGAACAATAAATCATAGCAATTACTACCGCGATCTCTAAATTAGATTTTAACCAAATGGATGAATTAAGAATAAACGTTATTTATGTTATGTAAATGTTACCTGTAATTATGATTTTGACAATTTTGACCTCCTCTATTTACTAACCAGCAATATGCGATTATATAATTTGTGTTGTGCAAGAATTTGTTTCTATGTAATAACCGTTTTTATCTTTCATTTTAAATCATACAATAACTTTTGAAAAATCTGGCGACATTGCAAAGTTGCAAAGCGAACACTATAATATTTATTACTTTTACTTGACGCCGTACTTTATTTGCTTGCGCACATTAATGTAATGTGTAGCCTTCAGTTTTATCTGAACAGATTGTTCACTTAAAACGTACTACTGTTGAGTCTTTGTTACTGTCTCATAAATTGTACACTTTTTAGTTTGCTTCACGATGTATGTTGAAATTGCACAGTTCGACTGTACATCGAAAACTGCGCAATTATTAATCTGTAGAGTGTATTGAAGCATGCGAAATAAAATTAAACATACACGTACACCCTACCCGCGAAACTGGTTTTCTCTAACGTTTATAGTTTGTGATCGATAACACAACGTAACGAAATATTTAAATTCTCTGACAAAATGGCTGACGTACATAAACGATTCGAAGGTAGCGGTAAGGGGATGGGGAAGGGGAAGGTCAAATGCAGGTCGCGCTCGGGCGTGTCGTGTTGCAAGGCGCATGTGCAATGTACAGCACATGCGCTGCACCGTCCCTGCAATGCGACAAAGGGCGTGGCCATAAACCAATCTAAGTACAACAATTTATCGACCCACGTTATCTGGGGGAATTGAAAAACGATGCAATTGCTTATACATACTCTTATATATTCCCAACTTCTATATTATTTTCGTTTTTATTTTGTTTGTCGCCTTTGTTCCAGAATATTCCTGATTGTTCCAATCACATACATTATCCAACACAAATTTGCAACAGAAAAACCCCTTGAACTTTAAAAGTACTTGCGCGCGTGTCTTATCCGTTAACTCGCCAACAGATGGCGTCGCGACAGAACATTCTGGAAGCAGCTCGAATATTATTGCACGGAGGTTTTTTATTGCTCCTCGCCAACAGATGGCGTCGCGTCCGAACATTCTGGAAGCAGCTCGAATATTGTTTCGCGGAGGTTTTTTCTTGCTACTCGCCAACAGATGGCGTCGCGACAGAACATTTTGGAAGCAGCTCGAATGTTGTTTTCCGGAGGTCTTTTCCTGCTACTCGCCAACAGATGACGTCGCGACAGAACGTTCTGGAAGCAGCTAGAATATTATTTTGCAGAGCTCTTTCCCAGCTACTCGCGAACAGGTGGCGTCGCGACAGAACGTTCTGGAAGCAGCTAGAATAATATTTTGCAGAGGTCTTGTCCTGCTACTCGCGAACAGATGGCGTCGCGACAGAACTTTTTAGAAGCTGCTTGAATATTCGTCGGATATCAATTTCGCTACTCGTCAACAAATGGCGTTATGGCTTATGTAACCGTAAAACATAGTTGGTTCGACATTATAGTCGTAGAAGAGACAAGTTATTAAGTTAGATCTTATCGTATTATTGATATATTTCAGCAATGTTTTCAATTACATTTGTCTAAATTTAAAAATTGGTAAATAACATATGTATTTCGATGCTCGAACGTATTGTGCATTTATTAAATTAATTACTCATGGTTTAATATGTATCATTAATACGGTATTCCGTATTGATCTATCGTTGTTTATTTCTTTGCATCGTATTCTCAAAGCAGTAACTACCAGTCTGCGCTCGCGCATTGGGAACGTCCGCGCGACGTCATCTCGCCCGCCTCGTCCGCAATGTCACTGACAGAATGAGGCAAAACGAGAGACCTTTTTTTGATCGACTTCCCAAAAGAAGGAGGTACTCAATTCGTCTGTTTTTTTTTAATTTCCCTTTATGTGTGTTCGCCATAACTCCGCCCCGGTATACCTATTTTAATAATTCTTTTTTACCCGAAAGGTAGTGCTTGCAGGTGGAACCCACTTTTTTGTTTAATTTTTAGAGACAAAGATTACGGCGTAGTTAGTTAATTTAGTACAAAATCGCGTGAAGAAAATTGGGGTGTGTAGAGGCAAAAATGCCTTCTTTGCTTAAATAGCCTAATCTATAATACTGACACAAAGATGATGTATGGAAGAATCGTAGCCTTTAATTTTGCTTAATTGAAGTCCTCAAAAGCATTTAACTATCAATAAAGGTTGTCGCACAATAAGTTTGTTTCGCGAGAAATGTCAAATAAATATAATCGAGTTCATTTACAACGTTTGCAATTTCTAAGAATAAAGTTTAGGACGTATTCTGTGCTGTAAAATTACAGATTAGCTGAATTAAATTCAGTAAATTATCGTATTTCACAGGTGCCCAATAATTGTTTTGTCACCAAAAAATATAAAAAGAGGCTCTGAAAAGTAGAGTGATTAGGTAGGGTTAGTGTCGCCGAGGGAGCGCAGTTCACGCAACACTTGGTTGCTCCAGGTTCGGCACCACCACCGACTAAATGCACGATATTAATATTTTTAACTTAAAATGTAAAGTTTGGAGGTCATTTGGTCTGAATTCGTGTGATTGCATACGACTTGTCGCTGGAGAAGGGGTTGTTCAACGCGGCTTGTGATTGGTCCTCAGATCGGTACTGAAAATATATCCTTTGTTTCAATTTGCCGTGTCATCTATCGATCGATACACCCGCGCCTGCGCCACGCGTTCTAGCTGCGGCCCGGGCAAAGGTTCGCCGGGACGCGAGCACCAATGCGCATGCGTGACGAGGTAGAAATCAATAGAGGTGTAGGCGAGTTCCAGCGGCCATCGAAGCCCGCAGTAGTCCGCCGGCCTGCAGTTTTACTTCACGTCAGCATCGTCGCTTGCAGTTTAGTTCATTTAAATTATTAAATTAGTGCGCTTTCATTTTTCTATTTCAATCTTTCTTTTTATGTGGTGTTTTTTATTTTACAATGAAGACCGGGATCTTGTCAACGCTTGGACTTGTATTTAATGTTATCATTACTTAAGTGTATAATGTTTTGTTGTAGAGTACAGCGGCCAGCAGCCGGCAGCCACCAGCCACCAGCCACCAATCAGAACTCATGGCCAGTAACCAGCGGCCAGCAATCATGTCGATCGCACAATGCGAGGACGCTGTTAAGAAATTCATTGTGGAGATGTCGAGCTTTATCGACTCCTACCGTATTTGGTTAGAATTGTTTTCATTCTTAATGCAGAGATAATTAACAGTTTTGATTACTGGTTAATTAATTTATTTAATTCCAAATTAAAACATTAATTAGGCAGGTTTTACGGTAGCTATAACTTCTGCCAGGTATACTGAAGTACATTTTGATTGACAGGTGCAAAACAAAAGTACACCATTCGTATGGACGAGCGCTGGATAACTTCGCCCCGATGGTGACGGGGACCTCGATGGATCTGAGCAGCGCAGTTGAAGAGTTCGCGATGGTGCGCGACCGCGTGTCTAGCAACCTCAACATCTTCCAAGCTATCTGCAACACCGACGTGGAGCGCCAAAACGTACGTAAACCTTGTCCCCCCCTCTCTCCCCGCACTTCACCTCAAGGCGCCATTGAATGTTGCCGTGCTAATTTACATTTAGGGGCAGTCGAGTAAATCCGCGGCGTTCCACTTCAGGGAAAAATTGTCTTATATATTGAAGCGAGACAAAAGCCACCTCTTCCTACTAATTAGTAATCAAAAAGGAAGAATTGTAGCCCTTTAAATTTGTAAAATTAAAGTCCGCGATAACAAATATCTATCCATTATGGTTGTCGCACAATAACCGTTTTTTTTTTGTGAAAAATGTTAGTTAAATGTAATTCCATTTAATTTATGAGGCTATAAATCTAATTTGGTATGAATCCTTATCCAAATAAATACATTTTCGAGTTAGAGAATAATAATTGTACAATATAGACATAACAGTTACAATATAGGAGGTTTAAGTAATTCAAGGAATTATTTCGTTAGGTTTTAGTATATTGGTTTTTTTTTTTTAAGAATATTTTGTTTGGAAGTCGGTTTTGTTTTTATTAAAATTTTCAAAAGATAGCCATCAGTAACAATATAGTGGGAATGATATCTTCATTATGGGTGAGTAAGATTGAACGTAACGTTTTAGTGGGACAGGCAGTTTGCCGGCTGGAGCGACAAGGACGCGCTGTTACACCTGAGATCGATGCAGCGCCGTTTGAGGCAGTTTCCCGTGCTCGCTAACACCAGGGATTACAAGAGGAACCTGAGAGCAGCAATTATATTATGCCTTTGGTTCAAGGAAATACGGTTTGTACTTACTTTTTAATATTAAACAGATGAACGTATGAGTTTGCACTCAGTTGTACTCGTACTTGTAGTACAAATATCCCAACAAGAGCGTCGGTGGTTCAGGGGGTTAAGCTACCTACTTGTAATCTGCAGGTCCTGGGTTCGAATCCCTCTATATACTAATGTTTGTCGAATTCCATATGTACATTCATTTATCCTACGTTATTAAGGTAAAGGAAATCGCATCGGGATACAACTTGAACATTTCGGAGAAGAAATTCATTGATATTTGTGAAGTAATCCCGCAGTGGGCCAGCGTGGCTAGGTGAGGCCTATTCACGCCTGTCTTAGGGCTTGCTGCGTCGCCCGTATTGTGACTGAGCTATTCGATGCCATCGCGACTAAAGAGAAACTTGCTGATTTTAAGTTGATTTTAAGTTACGGCATCTAGACATAGCGGTGGTCCACTAACAGAAATTAATTGCGTTGCCTCTAGCCAGGGAATCATTATAATATTTTTGTTTCAGCAATCATTCTTTGCTTACCTCATGGAAATTTTGGGAAAACCCGTACGCGCTGGATTGCTTCAAGGCATATCTTTACCAATTTATCTCTGAATTCCTGCAATTCACGCGCCTCGTGTCGAGCAACCTGCGCCACCACGCCCAAATTTCATGCAACGAGACCTTCCCAGTAAGTGTGATTGTATATTTACATCAACAACTTATCTACGAAATTAGTATTACCTAGACAGCTATAATTCAGAAGTAACTGATTTTTCTAATGTAAAAAATAAGTACTTACTAAAAAGTAATTAAATGTGTGTCTGCTACACTCGATTAGATTTTTATCTATACTATTATAATAAAGCGTAAACACACATTTCATTGTTGCCTAAGATGCCAGCAACTACAGCATATTTTTGAATAATTCTTTTTTTTAATAAAAAGCCCTACACTTACACACACACACGTCACACTTTAGGCTATATATTTTCACGCCATTACACTTTAACCAAAATATTTACCAAATTTTGGTTAGAAACCCTAATGTAGGAAAGAGACCATAAGTTACTGCCAACATGATAATTTGACAAATGAAAACAATAAAATTAAATTTTCATAATTTTAAGCTGATGAAGTCTTCCGGGAACAACTAGTACTAAAAAAACTACTTAAACCAGCCAACAAAGACAAAGTAATTTAAAAATAACTAGTATTTGTATCATTTACTTAAAGTTTCACAAAATGCTGGGGAGATGAGTATCTAATGGCGTGTAGAATATGGTAAATTGATGGCCGTTATTAGATAAAGCTGGATGACACAATGACATGTTTTTGGCCGACCAACATGGGCATCTAATGAAAGGACCTAACAAGAGTGTGCTTTGACTTCAATACTAATTGTTAACTCCTCAATTCACTAGATATATGTAGGTAGATATAGTTATGAAATAGGTGGGGTTAAGGATATATTTGTTTTTGTGTCAGATGTTATTTGAGATGGCGGAAGATTTCGAGAAACGCAACAGCCGGGCGACCCTGCGCGTGCGCAGCGCCCTCGCTTCCGCCGTCTACCGCCGCGCTTACCATATCAACGCCACCGTTAGAAATCTCCCAAGAACTGCTTACTGGGAAATCTTATGGGCCAACACGTAAGATAACAAGATACCATTGTTTACTTACATCATTGTGTATTGTAAACGTATATATCGCCAGCTGAATCTCATCTCATCATTCCAGGTCCATGTTCTCGTTTTCGGAAGTGGCCTCTGATGATTCTTTCATAGAATCGAAGGGTCTCATATACCCCCACAAGTTGCATATGTTGCCGACGAGCGAACTGAAGGTCTCTCAGCAAGACCTGGTCTCCCTGTGGAACTTGGCGGCCAGCATTCTGGATAACCCAGTCTGGTATACGCATCTCATCAATGTAAGTATTTTCATTAGCCTGCCCCATATGAGCGTCGTTAAAACCCCTCGGAGTTCCTTTGTTTGCGCATGTTATATCTATACATATAATGAAATTGGAATGTCTGTCATTAAAAAAACATTTTGCGGGAAGATGATGTATTGGCGTTGCTGATAACGAAAATCGCATTAAAAAAAATTTTGTCTGCCTGTCTGTCTGTCCGCAAGCCGCGTTTGTTCCGAGTAATCTCCA